GTAGAAAATGAGGTTTAAAGTAAATGTGCTTAAGTGATATTTCTAATGAGTGTTGGGTCTGAGATAGACCAGCTCATGTCTGCAGTCATCTGCTGATAGTTCCATCTTAGAGACAGAATGCCCCCTCCACCTTAGGGTCTGCCCTGTCTCTACAGCCTGTGACAAGTGTGGTGCTTTTTGACATATGGCATCAAACTTCTGACTCAAAGCTCTTTTGGCTTCATATCCAAACTTTCCATCAATATATTTTATAGATATTTAAAAAAAATCTTACTAGAAAGATTGTCTTAACTAATTTCAGCTTAAATTCCTTGGGTTGCTAATGATGAGGCCTGCTCCTTTTGGGTACCATAACTATAGCCATTTCTGTTTCAGGCCTAACAGCCATATCATCTCAACTTGTTGCTGATAAAGAAAAAAATAATTCTGTACAAGGTCAGAGTTACTAAAAACCATGTTTATGTTCTACATACTCCGTGGCCTTGCTGTTCCCAGAAATTCCCCAACCATAAGTGCAGCTGGCCCTAACCATAAACTTACCTTGGGACCAAGTTCAGCTAGAACTGCTTGTCTACACAGCAAAAATAACTTGAGTCAGTGATGACTACTACCCTGTTCCACTGAGCCCCCTCTTCTCCTCACCCCCCATCTGAGCTAATTGCGGTTTTCACCCTTTAAATATACAACACAGATTCCCATAAACAATGCAGTCCTGATCCCAAACAGACTGCCTGCCTTAGCTCAGAAAATAAAGCTTTTGTTTTAAGACACTGTATCTGAAGTGAGTTTCTCTAGGCTTCCAGCTCGAATCCAACACGACTAAAGTACATGCTGTTTATCAGGCTCTAAGTAACTCTTTTGAAAATCAATTGCTCTTATTATTCTCTATTTAAAAAAACTCTTTCTCTATGTAATACTTTGTATACTTACACATGTATAAATAAATTACACATATATATTTTATTCTAATGAATTTTAATAGTACATATTAAGAACATTAACTTTTAAGTCAATGATAGTATATTATAGATATCATGAAATTTTGTTTATTTTCAGTTTTTATAAGTATTTAAAAAATATACAAAATTCATTTTAAATACTATCATGTATGTCTTATCCTTTATAATTTCTTTTGGTGTCATATAATGTATTGAGTTATATTATAGCAGGTCCTATGAGGATGACCAGTTATTCACTGGGAAAACTAAATATTACTCATAACCTAAAACCTATCTATTGCTAGATATTTTTGTTTCATGCACAAAATCATTAAAATATTATATAAAATTTCTTTTTAACTATATGTAAAAGGTGTATATGACATACAAATAAATTCCATTTTTAGATGTAGGTTCCATTCTCAAAACAAAACATATTTATTACAAAACCTGAAAAAGAAAAACACAAAAAATCTGGAGCAAAGTTACTCTCAGACATCATTTTGGAAGAATATCATCTATCTACCATAGAATCTTACTAAATTGTATCAAGAAATTGATCTAGGCAGGGCTATGGTGGTACATGCCTTTAATCCTAGCACATGGGAGGTAGAGGCAGGCAAATTTCTGAGTTCCAGGCCATCCTGGTCTACAGAGTGAGTTCCTGGATAGCCAGGGATACAGAGAGAAACCCTGTCTTGAAACAAAACAAAACAAAACAAAACCAAAAAACCACCACCACCACCACCAACACACACACACACACACACACACACACACACACACACACACACACAATTGATTCAGATTCCAGAATTAAGCAGTTACTCATGAACTGCTTAATGAATGAAGATGGCATCTGAGGAGGAGGGAAAAAGCATTAATGAGGAATTAAGAAAACAGGATTCCAGTCCGAGTTTCACAGTGCCTGAGCAAGATGTACTTTGAGAAGTCATTTCTTTCTCAGGTTTATTCTTTGGGTGAACAGAAGATTGAGGACAGAAAGGGAAATGTATAGGCAACAACAAGAGTAGGGGCTAATTACGCTGTCTGAGTGACAAACTGGTGGCTTGTAGCAATTGCATAGCGGACAACGAAGGCTAAAATCCCATCATCATTACTCATCACACCACTTTCAAGCTTGGAGGAAAGTTACATTTTTATAAGTGGCAATATAACAATATAACACCTGCTGCCTCTTGTCATAATGACTCCACATTAGCTTTCACATGAACTGCCAGACATTTTTCTACGGGCATCAGGCATGTGTTCCAGCTAGGCCGCCTTTTTGTCCAGTGAGGCTTTTCTCACTTTTTATGAATGTTAGGTGCTCCACTGAATGCATAGCAATTTCTCACTGTTGTTTGAATCTCTCTTCCCCCAATGAATAATGATGTTGAACATTTTTTTTTTTTTTGTGGGATTTTGGATGCATTCATGAATGGCATACCCGTTTAATGCTGTTGTCCATTTAAAAATTGGACTGTTTTTACTTATTAGTTTGTAGGATATATGGATTATAAATTAAAATAATTGAAATTGTAAGCCAGGAAAGAATTTAATTAAAGTTATTTTATGTATCATCAATGTTCATATTTGGAAAAGGCTAATCATTGTTAGTCTGGTCAGTTTTGCTTTCAGGGTGGAAAAAGATAGTTCATTTTAGCAGAAAAATTATTTCAGGACTAGAATAAAGGAAGTATTTGAACAAGCAAAATGACACCATTTATCATCCTCTTTGCATAAGTAATTTTCCATTTGACAACTGGACTTTGTGTTTCATGAAACACAGCAGGATCTGCTGGGAAATGGTTGATAATTGTATTTGTGGCAGTCACACAGGGTATCACTGTGTGTCAAAGGATCCAGGCCAAGAACCAGTTGCCTTACTTTCTAACCCCCTTGAGCATAGAGACCAGAAAGGACTTCCTTGGTCTAGCACAATGGTTAATTTAAAAACATAATTTTACTAAACTTCTAACAATTTCATACAATGTGTTTTCATTATACCCACCCTACTCCTTCTTTAACCCCTCCCAGACCTATCTCCATATCCTTGCTCTTCCTCTCTCTCTCTCTCTCTGCCCATTAACTCTAATTTATGCTACCCATATTTTCCTGGGTGTGGAGCCATCAAGCAGAGTGTGGTTCACCTACCAGTGGCCACACCTTTAAGGAAAACTGGTTCCTACTGAGAAGTCACAGAATGTCTATAACACACCAGTTGGGCAGAGACTTGTGAACTCCTCCCACTCTAAACTAGAACGGTGCCTGGCTTGATCTCTTTAATGTCTTCTGCAGGCAACCACAGCTGTTGTGAGCTCAGTTCAGTGTCCCTATAATGTTCAAAGAACACTGTTTTCCTCTAGTCCTCTGTGAACTCAGGCTCTTTCATCTTCCCACCCCCTTTTCTACAGGGAAGCCTGAGCCTTGAGTAGAGGTGGTGTGACATCAATGTTCCACTTGCGGCTGAACAGCTACTGACACTTGGTCTTTGCACTTTAACCAGCTGTCTGTTTCTAAGGAGCCACTGTCCACTGCAAAAGAGTTCTCTGATGTGGCCTGAGGACCTCACAGATCTACAGGAAGAGAGACACAAATTTAGAAGCAGGCTGATACTTAGTCTGTTTAGTAGGTTCAACCCTGGGGCCTGTGAGCTCACCCACAGGTTCTTGGTCAGATTCACAGTACCAGACATGTCTTTACACATATGGAGTGGACCTTAAGTCCTATCGGCCAGTAGTTGGTTAGTTGTCTCCTTCTACCATGTGTGGTCATCAGGCTTGGCAACAATAGCCTTTATCTGCTGAGCAGTCTCACAAACTCTACTTTATAGAGTGTATCTGCCTACCTTGTGGAAAGAAAAAAAATTAAAAATGGCAGCCATATGTATTTCTTTGAAAAGGTTTTTATTTTGAGAGAATTAATCCCCACAGAGGTTGTTCTCTCACCACCATGCCTATGCTGTGACACTGAATGCACACACACACACACACACACACACACACACACACACACTAACATTTAAAAATGAAACAGAGAAGAGTTCCTACTCATAGCAGTTGGGTAAGAATGTGGTTTTTAGCTAATGGGTGGTGAAAGGTAAAGGCTCTGGATGACAAAGCAGACAATGAGAAGGACTAGTCATATTTTTTTTTTCCCAGTAAAGTGTGACGGATGCTAGCATTTGGCAATTTGGAAAAGAGTCTTTTCTGTCATCATTTTAATAAACATCAGCTATGTGTCAATGACATGAATGAGTGAAAGAACCCAATAACGTTGGTTTCTGGCAAGGAAAGACAACCCTACAAAGGCAATTTAACTGCAGGTGCTGATTAGGTTTCAACTTGAAACAAACCTAGATATATCTGGTAAGAGAGGATTTCACCTGTGGAACTGCCTCCATAAGACTGGTCTGTGGGCAACTGGTGTAGAAGAGCTCAGTCTGGAAATGCAGAACCCAAGAAAGATAATGGGACATGCCAGGGAAAGCAAGCCAAGAGGTAGCATTCCTCCACGGTCTCTCCTTCAATTCCTGCCCAACTTTTCTCCATGGTGGATGGTAAACTATTCATTGAAACAAACCTTTCCATTAGCAGGTTGCTTTGGGTCAGCATATTTTTATCACAGCAGCAGAAAGCTACCCTGGACTGACTATAAAAGAAGCATGCAGCCAAGTTTTAGGATGCAAAAGCCAACCAGTGAGGAAAGAGGAAGGTGACCTTCAGATCAAGCCCACAAAGGGCAGTGTGGAACGCCTTTACCAGCTAGCCCCTAAGCTGAGCCTTAAGGATGGAGAGGAGAGGTGAGAAACAAAGAGAGGCAGCAGAGTTTGAAAGGGCATGCAGAGAATGGCCAGCTCAAGCATTCCTCAGCAGTAGGAAATAGAATGGCGTCCCCAAAAGTCAGCACTTTGGGGAAACTGTTGAGTCAACAGAGATTATTGCAAAAACACTTTAAAGTCAACTCCAAGCAGGTATGACTCTTCTCTGTGAAGTGAAAAATACAGGCCACAAATCGTCCTCTCCACTCTAGCTTCTCAGCTCTTTCTTGTTATTACAGGGAAGTGTGTTTAACACCTGGAAACCCATGTGGGTTGTACTGTTAGAAGATGGAATTGAGTTTTATAAGAAGAAAAGTGACAACAGCCCCAAGGGAATGATCCCCCTGAAAGGAAGCACTCTCACTAGCCCCTGTCAAGACTTTGGCAAAAGGATGGTGAGTTGATATCATAAGCCACAATGACCCTGTGTCATGTGCTAACCTTGGATGTTCTTTTCAAATTCTGCCTTTCCTAGCTCCCTTAAGGCTCAGGTTATGGGCCTCGCTGTGTAACCTGCTGACCTCTGAGTCTATCTGATGTTAGCAGTGATTTGTGAACAAATGCTCCCTCTTGTCAAAATCACTTGTTACCCTGACATTGAGCTTTCTCTTCGCCAGAATAAGTTTGTGTCAACTGCTGTTTCATGAGGGGCCTTAGAGTTTGAGAGGAGTCATTTCTAATGGAATATGTTTTGATTTTCAGTTTGTGTTGAAAATCACTACAAACAAACAGCAGGACCACTTCTTCCAGGCAGCCTTCCTGGAGGAGAGGGATGCTTGGGTTCGGGACATCAAGAAAGCCATTAAATGCATTGAAGGAGGCCAGAAGTTTGCAAGAAAGTCCACAAGGAGATCCATTCGTCTGCCAGAGACTATTGACTTGGGGTAATGTTCTGAGTTTCCTTCTCACTACCCTTTGATTTTGCTTTCTAATTCTAGCTCACAGAACCTTTGCTACTGTAGGCTGTGGTTCATGGTAGACTGGAAAGGTTGTCCCAAAGACGTGGTTGCAGTGTCTTCAAGGCCTAGTAGCTGAGGAGAAAGGCCTGTGGTGTATAAAGAGGAGAGAAGAGAGATACAGGCAAGAAAGAAGAGAGAAGACAAAAATGTGACAGAAAAGAAGGAGGAGATGAAAGAGAAGAGGACAGAGACTCTGGAATAAGAGAAAGAGAAGAGAGAAGGTGGAGAAACATGAAAGAGGGCAATAGAGTGATTGTTTTATCTATAAAATAGCCATCTATAGTTAGTCCTGAGAGACCATTTAAAATTTTGTAGGTAGAAAGGGAAAGGCTGGGGCATGCATCCAAGCAGACAAAGCTTCAAGTTCAAAGTCATGCTTTTAGCCCCTGTCAGGAATGGCCAGTCAGGGTGAGCACTCGGCCTGGGCGGAAGTCTTTGTGTGCTGGATCGATGAGCAGCCTCTCATGTGCGCTATTGAGAACTTGGAAATGCAAGTGATTTGTAACATAGAGTTGGCCAGGGAACAACAGGTTATCCTGGGCCCTGATAGGGACTGGGAATGGGGTTCTTCCAAGGTTGTTTATGTCACCTTTAATCATGAGTATTTCTTTCTCCAGGGGTGTCATTTTTCTTGGTAGATTTGCTTTTTGTGTTAAGCATGGCCTGAAACAAGATACTCATTAGAAAGAATCCCATGTTGGCTGCTTAATATGTCTGTCAAGAATCCAGTTCACATAGGGTGGAGTTGAAAGCAGTCTCCAAGAGGGCATACACAACATACAACCCTTATGACTAATCTAAGGGTTGGCATGTCACAGGGATGGACTTTTTTTAAGCTTCACAAGACTTAGCGCTTCTTTCACCTGAGTGAGGACCCATGACGAGAAATCTGATCTAACCATAGCTGCTGGCTTCAGACATATGACTGGCTAGAGCTGTTGGAACCAAGTTGGAAAGATGCTCAAGGTACAAGGAACCACAGAGATTTAAAATTATTCTGATGAGGCTATTTTTAGTTTAGTTTTCCAAGGACAAAAAGTAAGAGCTCACTATTTTACATTATTTTTGGAAAAAAAGATAAGCTAAAAAAAAAATCCCTTTCTTGACAGCAACTGCCTATAAAAAAATGGCCTCCTGAAAACCTTGGGAGACTTGTGCTATCTTTCTATTGCTTAAACAAAAATGTAGAATCAGTTTAGAAAAGGGGAGTTTATTGTAGGTCAAAGTGCATAGTCTGACCTATTGCTCTAAGTCCCCGGGGAGGGGCAGTGCATCATGGCAGGTATGAATAGCATAGCATATCTGTCCACTTGTGCATGGGATATGAAAGAAGGAACTTGCATTTCCATATATCTTTCAAGAGCATGTCCACAGTAACTTGAAAAACTTTCATTTACTTGTTGCATTTGTGTGTGTGTGTGTGTCTGTGTGTGTGTACCTATATGTGGGTCTATGTGCATATGGTTGAAGGTGCATTTGGATGGAGGCTCGAGGCTGATTTCAGGTATTTTTCTCAATTGCTTTCCATCTTACTTTTGAGACAAGGTCTCTCACTGATCCCAAAGCCCACTGACTCAGTTATTTTAGCTGGCCAGCCTGCCTGCAGGAATCTTCCTATCTTTACCCAAATAGTGCGGGGGTGTCTCAAGCTGCTGTGTCCTGTTATTTCTGTGGGTGCTGTGGATCCAAACTCAGGTCCTCACGTTTCCCTGGAAAGCACTTTACTAAAAGAGCAGTCCCCTCCCCAGCCACATTTCCTGAAGCTTAAACCACCTCTGAATGGCACCAAGCTGGGGCACAAGTATTTAAGGCACAGGTATTTGGAGGACATGCCAGGTCCAAACAATTACAGGGCCATTCCTACAAAATTAGCCCTGGGAACGCTTAACCTTTGGCAAATGTCAGGACCAATGAAATCAACAAAGAGATTAAAGAATTTAAGAGATATGGAGTACGTCTGCTAGATGCTTTGCAGGCTAAGTGATTATGCAGGTTAGAAGTCTGCCTTTTAACTACTGCTGGCCTGGAAGAGAGGTTAGGCTCAGGGCTACTTTAAGGAGGGGGGGGGACACTTGGCTTGTGGAGAGGCCTATCTAGGTGGCTCAGCATTCTGAAATGTTTTTTTTCCTCACATCTGCTTCTCTCTGTGTGCAGGGCTTTGTATCTGTCTATGAAAGACCCTGAAAAAGGAATAAAGGAACTGAATCTGGAGAAGGACAAGAAGGTTTTTAATCACTGCTTCACAGGTAAAATGATGTGTGCTCCCAAAGTGGGCAATGAGGAGGAAATGTGGCATTCTCGCATAGGATCTGGGTGTGCTGGGGTGGAGTGCAGAGTAGGTGCACAGGATTGTGGAATGCAGAGTGATGGATAGGAGAGCAGAATTCTGCCTGTTTGGAAACAGAAATAAGGGGAGAAAAGCCTTTGCTTTTTTTTCAGGGTAAGACTTTAGAATCACAGCTATATCAATGAAGCTTCTCTTTGCCCCAATATTTGGCATTATGTTGAAAAGGTACTGGAAAAAGGCACAGCTCAATATGCTGCAATACACTATGGTAAACAAGAATTGGGCTACATAGTATAAAATCTAAATAATAATGTTAGGGGTGTCAGACACTGCTCGCAGTAAGGTGTTAGCTGTTATCAGTTTAAGCCGTGTAGTAAATCAGTGAAAACACATTCACTAGAAACACACTGGTTTCAATCCCTGGATCTGCAACTCACTACCCAAAAACCTTAGGCTAATAAGCTGGTCGTTCTGTGTTTTCTGTCTCTACAATGGGGAGAACCACAGTTCACCCACTTCCCATGCTTGTTGTTTTGTAGCGGAACAGCACGTGACACACACAAAGCACTCTGAGTGCTAAGCTTTCAAATGGTTGTTATGGTTAAAGATGTTATACATCCATGAAATGGCACCATAAATTTGGAAAAGAGAAAACTAAGTCACTGAGGTGAATAGAAAGTGGTGCCTCACTTTGACTTCACAGTAGATGGAGTTTATGGGGAAGATTTCCGATGATGCGTTATGGGTTGAAATGTGCAGAATATGCATCTAGACATAAACTGACCACCTGGAAGAGCTGCCAGCTCTTCCCAGAAAGCAGAACAGGAGATATAGCTTGTGAGTGAGTGTGCCAGACACTCAGCATAGTGAACATGTTTTCAAGAGATGCCACTGGAACACACGTTGGAGGAATTGTAGCAGTTCAAGTATCTGAGAAGATGTTAGATCCACAGGAAATCCACAAGAATGTCTTAGGTCAGAGTCAAAAGGTGAGGAGGAGAGGGTGTGATTTGCACTACTGGTGGAGCAGTGTCTCACAGGAGTGGGTTTCAGAGAATGCAGCCAGTAGACCTTTAGCATCAGGTCAAGACCTAGCTTCGGCATCAAGCTGCTGAGGAAAACAACAAAAGCAAGGCGGGACCTAAGGCTGTGGGGCTGGGACACTATGAGAGCCCCACACAAAGGAACAAGAAGGGGTTTCTATGTAGGCTTGGCTGCCAGATTTGTCCTAGACTTATTTTCTGTTGAATGTATCCCCGAGTCCCAGAATATTCACTAAAACTCAAGTCCTTCCCATGGGCAATGGTAATAGGTTCTAGAACCCTCCATGAGTGGAGTCTTCGTGAGAGTCAGGTCGTCTCAGATGAGAGGCAGAGACTGGGAAGCAGTCCACGCAAGCAGTGGAGCGCCTTGAGAATCACGACAGAGAACCTGGGCTGAGGTTGTCTTTCAGACTTCTGCACACCTACTCTGTGTGAGAGGGTACAAAATGAGGGCCCGGGACATATGCATCCGAGGCCCATAGTTATCAAAACTCCCTGAGTCTTAAATTTCTGAGTCTTAAGTTTCTTATTTTTCAAATGGAGTCAGTAATTGCTACCTCTTTTGCAGGGTAGTGAGGATTGAAAGCAGAAATGCTTGTCTTCACAGAAAGAGAAGGGGGTACATTGTTTTTAACGTGTGAAACTCACAGAGGGCTCATTCTCTGATGTGGGTCACGGCTCTTTTATGTGCCCCATACCCAGGGCTCCAGCTCCGATGTCCCAGGACTAGTAGGCTGCCATGTTGGGTGTCACTGGCTGAAGTTGTAAAGAATACTCTTTATGGATACAAAGCTTTCATTTTTGGCTTGCTAATACCCCCCCCCCGATAGATTTTCTTCATTTCATTTGCTGTGCTATTTTCTCTTGCGATAAAAGCTAAATAAAATTACTACTCAACCTTCCTGACAGACTCTTTGAAAGGCGTGGCAAGAGATACAATAGATACAAGTAATGTAATCAAGTTTTAATTTAGGACACACATCCCATACATGCCATTTGATAATTAAAATCTGAAGTGTCTCTACACTACACATTCCTTAATTTGCCAGCAGACTCTCCTCACTGCCCCAGTCTTCCTTCTCCCCCGGTCTCCTCTTGCCTTCTGTGTTGTCAGGGCCAGTGATGTGCTGCTCCTTGTCTATGCCAGATTCTCAACTCCCATCTCAAATGCTTGCAAACACCTTCTCATATTTCAGGTCTCAGCACAGTTACTTTCTCTATGAATCATTTTCTGATTTGACCTAGTCATACATTATAGCAAATTTCTATAAATGTAGTGCTTACATTTTCACTAAGGAATCTGCCCCCTACTATCTTGCATCTTGCATGTAGTAACCTAGTATCATATACAAGCTCAATAAATGTGTGACTTAGTAAAGATAATTTATATATTTAAGAGCTGTGTAAGTATATATGTATATCTACATACATATATATCTGCATATATATGTATGTGTGCTTCAATTTTTGCATGATTCCTTTTGTTTCCAAGTATCATCTTCACTAATTTTAATTTTCCTTCTTGGAGTAACAAGTAAGGTGAGACAAGATGGACACTTGTGTGTACCGCAACCAGTGTGTGGGTGGTAGTCAGTGGCTTGTGGCTTGGGAAAGAGAGTTATTTTTTCCTCTGATGTTCTCATCCAGGTAGTGGTGTCATTGACTGGCTGGTTTCTAACAAGTCAGTTCGGAATCGCCAGGAAGGCCTCATGATCTCTGCATCCCTGCTCAGTGAAGGGTACCTGCAGCCTGCTGGGGATCTGTCCAAGAATGCAGCAGATGGAATAGCTGAAAACCCTTTCCTGGACAACCCTGATGCTTTCTACTACTTTGTAAGTGTGGAAAGCTACCCACTTGTTCTTCCTGACATAGGATCAGGGTAGATTTTCTATGGATATCAGTTTATAGATCTATGTGCAAACAATTTCTAGTCCTAAAGAGAACTGATAGGAAAAGAAGGCTGGAGAAGACAAAATGTTAACATCCAGCTGGTGTTAAGTACTGGGCACAAGTACTAGCTGCCCAGCATGATGACCTGGGTTCAATCCCTAGAACCTGCACAGTAGAAGGGGCGAACCAACTCCTCAAGTTGTCTTTTGGGTGTTGGCTTGTCACTACTAACTCAAGAGACAGAGAAAGCCTTTTCTGCTGTAGATTTCTTCAACTCTGAATACCTGTAAACTTTGTATACCCTCAAAGACAGGAAATTGGTCAGGCCCCCACCTGAGGAGCTCCAGAGGTCATTCCCTGCCCCCCAGACTCCCCTAACAGCCTTAAGGGTTGTTTTATAATAGCTGCAATGGCAGTTCCCAGCCCTGAGGCTGGAGAGTGGCTAGGCCCTGCACAATCCCTGAGTCTTCCCCAAGGACCAGGTCATATAATCCCCCCAATCCTAGGCCATTTTAGGAAGCGCTCCTCCCCTCTCTCTTGCAAAAAACCCTATGTAAGCCCTATTTTGCCCAGTTCCCTGCTGATTCTCACCTGAGCAGAGGCAGTCACCCTTCTGTGGTTTTCTCTCCCAATAAATGTCTTGTGTGAGGTTTGTTGTACAGACGCTGGCTTTCGTCTGCCAGGATACCTTTTGGAACAGAGCTGTAACACTTCTGCTGGAGTGCAGCTTTCACTAGGAAAAGTTCACCCTGCCAGAGCACAGTTGTAACACTTTCACCTGGGAAAACATTTCCATCTTCAGACAGAGGAGAGTTGTTACTTTTTCCCTGGGGAAACTTGCCCAGCAGCTGGAGGAGAACATGTTAGGGAAAGCCTTTTCTTTCAGAGATGCAACACTTCACACTGACCTCCGTATCCACTCCGTGGCATGCACATTCTCATGTCTCTCTCTTTCTCTCTCTCACACAGAAAGAAACAAATATTTTAAACACACATAACTAGAAGCTATGAAGACATGAGGCCCATAAACCTTCTATTGCAACAGCAGTTTCTAGACTTAATAGCTGTTCCCTCAAATGGGTGAAGTTTAAAGAAAATGATTGTCTACTTAAATAGTTTTCTCTAACTCACCTTTGAAATCTTATTTCCTTCATTTTTATTCTAAGTGAATGGTTCTCTACCTTCCCAATGCTACAACCGTTTAATTCCTCATGTTGTGGGATCCCCAACTACAAAATTGCATTCAGTGCTACTTCATAACTATAATGTTGCTACTGTTATTAATCTAATGTAAATCTCTCTCTTTTTTTAATGGTCTTAAGGGTCACCTAATGTTTGTTCAACCCTCAACGGGGTCATGACCCAAGGGGTGAGAATCACTGTCCCAAGTAATCGTTAATTTAGAAAAGTAGATTGTGTGCCCCTGCTTAGCACATGTCCTAGACAAAGGGAACACAGCAGTGGAAAGGCAACAGCTCCCCTCCTGCCATGATGTCCTTTTCAGAGGCTTGACCACGGGATGACAAGAGCGAGGAGCTGTCTGTGTTCAAATATATACCGAAGTGTGCACTGTCCTTCTGTATGCACTTCCTCCTTTCACCTTGTATGCTGCTTATGTTTGCCAAGATTGCTAAACTCATATTCTGTAACATGAGCTGAACTTGGGCTCCCATGGTAAATTTCAGCAACTGTGGCTTTCTAGGGGGATTTTTGACAGTTTTGTTTCTACATTTGGATCAGAATGTAGAAGTTAGGAAAGCTAAGTTAAGAACCATCTTTCTTATACAAATGAAGTGAACATCCCAGGCGGTGTTTCATTTCACTTTTGGTGAAGTTCTACTAGCAGTATTTTTTTTTTTTTTTTCACGCTTCAGACCTTTGGTCTAGTTTTTTATAGCCATTTAAATGAAGGGTGTTAAATTAAATTCTCACAGCAGCTCCTCCTCTGTGTGGCTTGTTACTCTCTTATAACTCTGAAAATCCATCAATTATCCTGACCTCAGGGGCTGAGTTGGTGCATGTACTCTTGGTTCTCTCAAGGTCAGAGACAGATGGAGGAGCTGAGTGACAAATCATGGTGGAGAGTGTTGCATCAGAAGGTTGTTACCCTGATTTTAAAGATGTCACAATAAAGTCCCATGACAAGAAAGACTTTGAAGTGAGAAATACGCCTCGTAAAGACTGAGGCAGATTTATGATATAGCCTGGGGAGTCATAGAAAACAAAAGGATATTGATCCGATCACACTTGAATAGAGACACAGCTGGAGCAGGATCCAGGAGTGAGAAAATGGGGAGGGCCTAGACTGCAAAGCCAGAGTAATCTCAGAGCTTGAGATCGGGATACCTGGAGCAGCAGGGAGGGGTGTGGACAGCAATATGCTTGGGCCCGTAAGAACCTGCTGTATGGTTTCCCAACAGCCAGACAGTGGGTTCTTCTGTGATGAGAATTCCAGTGATGATGACGTGATTTTGAGAGAAGAATTCAGAGGGGTTATCATCAAGCAGGGTTGTTTGCTGAAGCAGGTGAGTGCCTACCGTTATTTTACTCTGGTATTCCCCCTTTTCACAACTTTCACTTTTTTTTTTTTTTTCTAAATTGCCAATGTGAGCTGGGGATGTTGATGCTTATCTATAATCCCTGCAATATAAAGTCAGCCATAGGGATTGCTGTGAGATCAAGGACAGCCCGAACTAAATAGTGAGACTTTATCTTAAAAAGACAAAAAAAAAAAAAAGAAAGAAAGAAAAAAAGAAATAAAAGAGACAACGTCATCAAATAGTATTTAGCTTATTTGATCAATAACAAAGAAGGAAATGAAACCCACAAAGTGAAAGACAAAATGCCTAGTAGATGATGAAGGTAATGTTGGATTAGGACTGGGACAGGCAGAAAATGCCGCTAGAAATGGTGAAATGCTTCTTTTGCCAATGTAATAATGATACAAAGTGTTTTAAGAAAATATTTCCCTTTCCTTAATAAGAAGAAATAAGTTGGCCAAGAGATGCCATTCAAAAGATAAAGATATTTCATGGTAAAGTACTTTATGGTGACCAGAAAATAGGAACAGGCCACATTCTCTGGTAACCTTTTAGAACAAGGTACCATTCCAGACTGTGGTGATACATGATGAGAGCTAAAACTATGGCATGAGGCCATCTTTGTACGAATAGTAGGATAGGGTCAGATCCTGTTTGAGGGCATAGGCACAGTACAAGTGTGTGTGTGTGTGTGTGTGTGTGTGTGTGTGTGTGTACTATGTGCAATTTCAGGTATCCACAGTGTAGCTTCTTTTCATGTACAGAAAGAGGAAGTACTAGCTTCTAGGGGGTGTGGTTTAGGTGCTTCTGTTTTGATTGTCAAGCCTGGGTCTTGGGTTATCTAAGTTTTTTTTTTAATTGCATGTGTTTTTGCCATAATGCATGAATTTAATCATATTGATTCAAAATTATAGGCATGATGATAGAAGATTTGCCCTAAAAATGCACTTCTTGTGTACAAATTCAAAGTTTGCTCAAGTTGCATTTGTCTCTTGTCTCTGGGTCTCCCAGATGGTTCAGGACATGTTAGAGTGGAAAGCAACCACGAAAGGGAAGTCCCAAGGGCCGCTGGGGGAAGAGGGACCTCTTCTTCTGGTTAGAGTCGGGTGTTTGTGCAGCTCCAGGCAGGTGCGAATGCCGTTACCAAGTGCATCATAAGGAAAGCGGTGTGTGTAGCCCACGCCAAGCAGAGTCCCGAGTTGCCGAGCTTTCCGTATGCTTGCCTATTTAAGTCTTTTAGCTCATGAGTAACCCTGGTTCGTATCAGAATCTCTTGGGAGCAAATTAAAAAAAAAATTATGAGGAATGGCAAATGAGGTTGACCGCTAACCTACACACACATACACATATGTACATATATGTACACACCTGCATAGGTATATATTCATGTGCATGCACACATGTACATACACACGCAGAGGGAGAGAGCAATCGGCATCTTTATTAGGCTTTGTTTGATAGCCCATGTCTACAATTACGTATTTCTCACTTAATTCTTTTGAAATCCATGTATACCTAGTATTTTATTTGAGTTTCGGCAAAGCCTCTTGCCATACGGATCACAAACTCCTCAAAGAACAGGACGATGTCTTGACCCAAGTTATATGCCCAGCACTGCTCAGCGTGTCACACATGATGGTGTGCCATTTCACCTAATTCTAAAGCTGGAAGACAGCAGCAGAGAAATATTTAAACGTATCCGCTTGGTTCGCGAGCATCTGCCTTATTAATGGGTCTTGGTGCTGTCTCCCTGAAGAGGACATGGTTCAGGACCCAGTAATTCATCGTGGCATTCTTTTATCCTAGCAGACTTCTCACCAAGCACGGTGTATACAGTGATGCTAGCAGCTCACCGTTTCTTTCTCCTACAGGGGCACAGAAGGAAAAACTGGAAAGTGAGAAAGTTCATTCTGAGAGAAGACCCAGCGTACCTGCATTACTATGACCCTGCCGGGGTGAGATTACGGGGTTGCTAAATCCATCCAAATAGAAGTCCTGAGCGTATGTGAGCTGGGGCCACGCCCCTGAGCCACGCCCCCTCTCTTCTGATTACTTTCATTTTCATTCTCAGATTTCTTTTCTTCCTACTGCCTGTTATTTTTTCTACCACTTCCCATGGCAATGTCTGAGTTCTTGTGCCTCTTAGACCAGCAAAAACCCAGGAGTTGAAGAAAATATCAGTGAATTATATGCATTTGGTTAACTCAGTATACCTTTTATTTTGTCCCATTTGATACACACACACACACAATCTTTTTAATTTCTCTCAGCCTTCAAACAATGAGCTTCATTGTGACATTTTCACACACATGCCTGCTTACTTTGTTGTCATTCCCCTCCCCCAGCGCCCTCTCTTGTCCCCTCATCTGTATTCCTATTTGATTATTCCTTCCCTTGAATAGTCAGTCCTTCAGCTTTCATGTTGAATACTGTCCATCACATCCCCTTTCCCTCCATTCTTTCATGCCTCCTTTTCCCTCATTTGTAGTCCCCATTTTACTTCCTAATGTCTTTTTAGGAGAAGGCATGAGGACTATTTGTCTTCTTGAGTTTGGCTTTAACAAAATTGTCTATAGTTGATCCATTTTCCTAAAAATGTCAATATTGTGTTATTTTTATGGCGGTGCATGTAACACATTTTTATTACCCATACGTTCAATCCAGCTTCTAGGTTGAATTATACTTGAAATCTTGAAGTAGCTTGAAGGAGGTTGAAATCTACTTCTTGAAGGAGGTTGAAATCTACTTCTAGGCTTTCAAGGACCCTCCACATTGACTTCTGTAGTGGCCCTCTCAGTTTACATTCCCACAGCAGTGTATAAGGGTTCATTTCCCTCCATCGCCTCGCCTTCATGTAACTGACAGACATTCCACTGGGGTAAAAGAGAACCTTAGTGTGATTTTGATTTGCATTTCCCTGATGGTTAAGGATACTGAACCCTTTTTCAATTTCTTCTTTTGAGGACTGTCTATTCATTTCATTAGCCCAATTTTTTAACTTGATGATTTGTTTTCCTTGTTATTTTATTTAGGAGTTCTTTGTATATTCCAGATATTAATATCATGTTTGGTGTAGAGTTGGGGAAGATTTTCTTCTGTTCTGCAGGTTGTATCTTCTTTCTGCTGATTTTACTCCTCTAATGTGGAAAAGGTTTTCAATTTTTTCCATTCCATTTGTCGGTTCTTGTTATTTCCTGTGCTGTTGGAATCCTTTTCAGGAATCACAATCCTAAACGACATCTTGTCCTGGAGCAGGTTTAGAATTTACATAAGATCTTTTATCCATTCTGAGTTGATTTTGTTCAGAGTGAGAGATGTGGATTTAGTTTTAGGTGGTTGTTTTTTGTTTTTTTTTTGTTTGTTTGTTTGTTTTGTTTATCTAGGTTCTCCTGCAGTGTTTGAAGAGGCAATCTTTTTTTCTAATGTGTGGGTCTTGTCACTTTTGTCAAAGATTACCTGGCTGTAGTTTCGAGGGCGTATGTCTTGGTCTTCTGTTCTACCCTCCTGGTCTATACCTGCTATTTGAGCTGCCTCTGCTCAGTATGGCTCTCTAGAGCAGTCACTGACCTTGATGCCTCCAGTGCTGCTGTTTCTACTTTGAATCTTTTAGGGTTTTCAGAGTCCTCTTGCCTTTCTATGTGAATCCTAGGGGTTTTCCCTATGTTTGTGACGAATATGGTTGAGACACTTACTTTCTAGCTAGTGTGTTCTTTCTTTTTGATACTGCTGCTGTCTGATGCAATAATAAAAATGATGTAATAAAAAGAATTTTTTTAAGTAAGTGGCTGACGGCCATGAACTGGCTTAGTTTGTGCAGTTTTCTCAAATAGTGAGACCCAGCCATGTCACTCCTCAGCAGCCCAACAGACTCCACATCCCACCACAGATACACTTGTGCCTCCCTTACAGTTTTCATACTGTTTCTCTGCTCTGTTTTGTTGCTATTGTAATAATAATACTAAAATCTGTACACCTAAAGAAGATAAGCAAGAAGGAAGACCCTGGGTAAGTTGCTTAATCCTCATTCAGAAAGGCAAATGGGATAGACATCGGAAGCGGGGGAAAAACAAGGAAACGGGTCAAGAGCCTACCACAGAGGGCCATTGAAAGACTCTAACCTGCAGGGTATCAAAGCAGATGCTGAGACTCTTAGCCAAACTATGGGCAGAGTGCAGGGAATCTTATGAAAGATGGAGGAGAGGAAAGACCTGGAGGGATCAGGAGCTCCATAAGAAGAGCAACAGAACCAAAAATTCTGTGCACTGGGGTCATTTCTGAGACTGATACTCCAACTGAGGACTATACATGGAGATAAACTAGAACCCCTGCACAGATGTAGCTCATGGCAGCTCAGTCTCCAAGTGGGTTCCCTAGCAAGGGGAACAAAGGCTGTCTCTGACATGAACTCAGTGGCAGGCTCTTTGATCACCCCCTCCTGAATGGGGGAGCAGCCTTGCCAGGCCACAGAGGAAGACAATGCAGCCAGTCCTGATGAGACCTGATAGGCTAGGGTCAGATGGAAGGGGAGGAGGACCTCCCTTATCAGTGGACTAAGGAAGGGGCGTGGGAGAAGAAGAGGGAGGAAAAGTGGGATTGGGAAGGGATGAGGGAGGAGGCTGTAGCTGGGATACAAAGTGAATAAATTGTAATAAAAATAAATATTGTAATAAAAATAATTTGCTATGGAGATATAATTTATATCTTATATATTAAATTATATATTTAATATTTAATATATTTAATATTAAATATTTATATTTAATATATATTAAATTATATATATAATTTAATAGATATAAAAATAATTTGCTTCCCTGGGCACACCAATTTTTAATCATAAATGCCTGTTGTGTTTGTATGATTTTATCTTTCTTTATGTTTGTGAATTTCTGCTACACCTTTATCAAATAGATTATCTGTTTTCAGTTTCTATCACCTCTTCTTCTATTTCATGGATTCTTAGGTTAGGTTACAACTGTATCCTGGAGTTCTTGGGCACTGTGTTCTTGTTTGCTCATCTATCTATCTATCTATCTATCTATCTATCTATCTATCTATCTATCTATTGTTGTAGGCGTGGATTAATATTTATTAATTATCTTTTAGTAATGCTGCTGTTATACCTAAACAGCTGTATACCAAAATCACCACACAGAGACTGGATTTATTTAGTTAACCTAGAGCACAATGCTGGGCAATATTTACTTCATCCTAAACCTCCACGCCCTCATAGTTTCCTAACATTTAGATTTCCCACATTATACTTGCTTTTTAGTGATATCTTAGGTCCAGTCCATCTCTCCACGCAGTTCCAAGATCTCTCTCTTGCTCTGCTCCAAGCTCTCCTCACCCTTTTTCCTCCCACTCATTTCCTGCCCTCTAGCTCCTCCCCTCTTTCCTGTCCTCTGGCTCTTCCCAGCTCAACATTGTGTCTAGTTGCTTTATTTTGGCCTGTTTACACAAGAGTTGAGACAGGATGCTTAGAATGTGTATCACAATGCAATATCCAGATTGAAACCCGGGGTGGGGGAAGAAATCAGCATTTGAGTGAACAAGGATAAGGTGTATACATTTTAAAAAAACATTATACCATCTATCTATCTATCTATCTATCTATCTATCTATCTATCTATCATCTATCTATTATTTATGTATATATATTAATTGATGTTTGGATGTCACATACCCCAATCTTCTTCTTCATTCCTGAATTTTTTTTTTTTTTTTGGTTTGGAAAAAACCCATTGGTGGTACTTTGTACCCTATTTTTCCATTTGTTTGAGATTTTTATTTTAATGTCTTTGTTTTTGTTTTTTTCAACATCTCATCTTCCTTGAATTTTCTTCCTTGTCTTTTTTCCTTTTTTTCCTGAGACAGGGTTTCTCGTGTAGCTTTGGCTGTCCTGGACTTGCTTTGTAATCCAGGCTGGCCTCAAATTCATAGAGATCCACCTGCCTCTGTCTCCCTGAGTGCCCAGATTACAGTCATGTAACACTGTGACTGGCTTCCTTGTCACTTTTCAGTCTATGTTGTTGGTTTTCTGTTTGGTTTTTTTTTTCTGACTGTTTTTCTATGTTGCTGACTTTCTTTCCTAGTTCTTACATTTGAATTCATCTGCCTGTTTGTAAACTCTTTTATTGATCATTTTACTAGTAGATCTTCATCCAACATTGTTCCTACTTCAGCATCTCTGATTCAATCGGTGAGGAATTACGGTTTCTTGGAGGAGTCATACTACTTTGTTTCTTGTGTTTCTGTGCTATGATCTGTGCATCTCTTGGAGTAAGTGTTGGTTCTAATTAGAGAATTTTTTATTGAGGAGCATACATTTGAGTGTATTACTACTTACATAGGAGAAAACAAGGTGGTTTCAGGTAAGGTTCTATATGCGTGTGTGTGTGTGCGTGTCCTATATGTATGTGTGCAGATGTGCATGACTCTAAACATGTGGAGAGCAGAGCATGATGTGCTCCTCTGTCACTCTCTGATTTATTCCTTTGAGGTGAATTCTCTCCCTGGAACTAGAGTCTCGTTTTCTTGTTGTTTCCACCTAGACCATATGCTCACAAGCCCTAGTAATTCTCCTATTTATAGGTTTTCAGCTATATGTGTGTGTGGGACACATATAGGTGTTATATAGATGTTGAGGTCCAAACCTTGGTCCTCATACATATGCAGAAAGCCCTCTTAACTGTGGACCCATCTCTCTAGCCTCTGAGTGAGGATTGGATTTCATTCCCTTCTGTCACTTGTACTTTTCTCTGCACTTTTTAAACCTGTACTGTCACTACCAGTGATAGAATTTTCCCTTTGGCTACTAGAGACTTGTCTATTTTTTATTTTAATTTTCTCCTTTACTTTCATAGGAAAGTAGCATTTAGTCTACCATGTTACCCTTAAGCCCTCTCCAATTTGATATTTTTTTGTAGGAATTAATTCTGTCCAACATGTGCTCATAATTTAATACACAAGAATAGATAATTCATCTTCTAGAACAACTGGGCGATCTCTCTGTTTAAGACCAGCAATACTGGCTGTTGAGTAAAGATGAGGCCCTTTTCCTCAACAAAAGTTACAATTATGAAGGAAAAGATGTTCGCATCACCTGTCAGATGAAGGCTTCGCTCTGTCCATACATGGCGTTCCTCGACTTAGGCCTGTGTGTGCTGAAACGCTGTATCAAATCTGAGAACAGGCAGTTCCTTAGTGGGATATAATAACCTTAGCATCTCTCAGTTCCCTACCCCTTTTCCTCCAGATCTGAGTTCCAGATTGACTTGTATCTTCTCATGCAGCTTCAAGGGGAGGGTATGTTCTGTAAAGGATTTTCTTTCATCTCCCTTTGCTCTTACCCAGCATGTACCTGACTGGGCCTGTGTTAGGTCTCCAGCACCAGGATGAGGCAGGGCCACACTGTGTACTTTGGAGACACAGCAGCCCCTCTTTTCTTTAGGGCGAAGATCCCTTGGGAGCTATCCACTTGAGAGGCTGTGTGGTGACGTCAGTGGAGGGCAATCTGGATGGTAAGAATGTACTTCTGTGGAAGGGGGATGTGACTGCTGCCTCTCTATACCTGTGGGTATTGAGCCAATTAGCTAGCAAGTGTGCATAAATATACAGTCTGAAAACTTGCGAGCGAGTTAAGTGCCATCCCTTCCCAAGAGCTCGCCTGCCTTTCAGATCCTGGGGAATGAGGGTGGCTTTGTGGATGCCTTGAGTATATTACTGAACAATGCTAGAATAATCATTGTCTCCTGTGCCTCCAAAATGGCTTCTACAGAGAGTGTGGCCATGGCTCCTGGTGCTAAGGGGCTGCATCAGATGATCTTTGTTCTGTTGCACTCACACACCCATGACTGACACATGGGTTAACTATGTGGCTGTCTACTGCTTTGACAGGCCCAGAGGACACATGGAGTCACTGAGATGTGGCTTTCACAGCTCAAACTCTGCTTCTATTTTTCTCCCCTGTCATTGCCAGACTTTCTTTTTCTGTGTTTTTTTAAACTCGTATTTTTAGCACAAAATTATAGAGAAAACTATATAACAAATACCAGATTACAACAGGAATCACTATACAATTTGGTTGATGTGTGCTTGTCTGTCTTCATCTCTTGATAATTTGTCTTGAATCAAATGAAGACACACCATTTAAAGGGGAGCAAACCACGGAATCACTCTGGCTTCATCTTGACATTTTGGGTTTATTTGCCTTTTCATCTCTCATTTAGAGCTGAGCCTTAGCTCTTAGTTTATACTAACAAGACTGATGTTAGATATGGTTTGGATTTATTATATATGCATGTTTGCAGATATAAATATATGTGTACATTTTAATCTGTTGTACATTGAGATTGTCTCTTGGCTTATATTATGAGCAAAACAAAGGAACTCCTTAAAGACCATCAGAAGTTTGGTAGACACTATTGGTGTGCAAAGGCAAGAAATTTAACACACACATGATGAAGGAAAATGTTTTGTACATGTTTCTTAATGATCATGCTACATAGCTATCTTTACAGATGCTGCATGTATTCTTAGGCAATGAATATGTATGTAGAATTTTCTTAGGACACTAAAAAACAGGCATTTCATGACTTGGGGAATAAGAAGGGATCAGGTGAGCTTCTGGTGTCATGGTTATTTTTTTTTTCTCTTACCAGGTAAGAAGAACAATGAAGAGAACCTTTTTGAGATCATCACAGCAGACGAAGTTCATTATTACCTGCAGGCGGCCACTTCCAAGGAGCGTACTGAGTGGATCAAAGCCATCCAGGTGGCCTTACGGACTGGGAAGTAAGGATAATGTTCAAGTCCTTATCCCTTCCTAAGGGAAGCCCATGAGTGGATAAGCCTAGCCCATGACTTGTCCGTGTCTATGACGATTCAGCCAGAAAGAACGTAGGAGTGGGATATGTTTGCCTGCGTGTAACTAACCATGTGCCACATAATGTTACCTGCACCAGTCCATTCACTGTGATCTCTCCACCCCATCTGTGTCCACAAGCCATATAATGAGCTATGTCGATAGGCTATGTAGTCTTTCCAGGCCTTGAGACCTCTTGTGGAAAATGAAGGCATGGACTGGTTATCTTTGAGGTCCTCTCTAGTTGAAAAAAAAAAAAGCCAAATAGCAAATACATACATAATGCCCTGTGATTATTATCTCCATGAAAGTGAAACAGTCTCCAGTTGTACTGCTGGTATCCTTTTTAGGTGAGGTTGGGACTCTTGGCTCTCATGTTCCTGGTTTTTTCTTAGACATCATCTGTCTTTGAAACTGTTGTAAGATGCACTAAGGTGTCTCTTCTGTTCTCTGGTAACTTGGCTGTTGTTCTTGGCTGAGATTATGTAAAGTAATGGAGTAGCCTGCTTGCTTTCTTGCCTGCTCAGACAGTTCTCAGGAGCAGCTTTTTGCCCTGAGTGATGGTTTATAGCTTTTGCTGTTGCATTTCCAGAGAAACAGACTCAAGGAAGCCAGAGGCAGCCTAAGAGTCTTTCCAGGTGTGGAAGCTGCTAAGATCAAGATCTGAAAGGGGGTGAGGGAGCTCTCCCTTTGTTCTTCTCTGGAATATTATGCATCATTTCTTACAATTAGAAGGCAGCCTCTTAGCCTTTGAGTTTCTCTTAAGGTTTACAGAAAATTGGCTTGTTAGGGATACCTTCATGTGTGAGGGGCCTGGGCAGCTGCCTGGCGAGTTTGTCTCCCCAGTCTGAAGAGAGCAGAGAGGACTAGAGTGCAAGGCAAGCTACCTGTCCACACTGAGGGCCTGGAATCTATGCAGAGCTTGTGGGGGAGCCTGACAGGCCATGCAGCTCCTTTAGGTCTCCAAATCTCAGGGCCGTGTAGCTCTGCAGGCTGAAGTGTAAGCCAATGCCATTTGGGCTCTGAGAGCTTCCTGGTCCTGTTACTAGTGAGAGACGCTTCAAAACAGGAACTTGTTTATGAGTTTTCATTATGACTCCTGTCCTGAAGTATAAAACAGCGTATTCATGCAAAGGAGTATTTTCTTGTAAAATTATTATTATTTTTATGTATATGGGTGTTTTGCCTGCATATATGTAAACCATGTGCCATGCCTGGTTCCTGTGGAAGCAAGAAGAGGGCATTGGATCCCTTCAAGCTAGAGTTATGGGTGACTGAGCTCCTGTGTGGGCCCTGGAAATTGAACCCAGGTTCTCTGGAAAAACAACTAGTGCTCTTAGCCACTGAGTCATTTTGCAAGGCCCAGGAACATTTTTTTCTAACTCCAGATTTAGTTTTATGGTGTCTGTTAAAAAAAAAAAAAAAAAAAAGGAGAGAACAATTTTCCTCTTTCCATTCTAATGCTCCTCTTTTGCCTGCTTTCAATTCCCTTGTGCTAGTCATGAGACTGCCTCTTCTCAAGTTATTTTATTGATGGCCACGAGGCAAAGGAATATCATTGTCCTCAGCACATTATCTCTATAGAATACACACAACAGTTTATTTATAGTTAGTCTTCAAATAATTATTAATATGAGTCAGCCTTATGTTTTGAAATATATTTGGTTTACTTAGAGTCTTTTGGGTATGATGACTCTATTCTGTCTCTCATTAACTGTTTTTCCTTTATACAACTCACTTTCATCTTCTGAGTAATGTTTTATTTTTATTTCTCAAATTATTTGTACTTTTCCTTTAAAACAAAAACAAAGAACAAGGACTAAAGAGATGGATTGTCAGTTAAGAGCACTTGCTGCTCTCGGGCTGGGTTCCCTAGTCTGCACGGTGGCTCACAACTGTCTGTAATTCCAGTTCCAGGGGATTCAACACTCTTTTCTGGCCTGCGAATATATGCATGGCCTGGATATATGCATGCATACAGGAAAGCACTCATACACATAAAGCAAAAGCAAATAAATATTTTCTTAATGTCAGTTTACTTGAGAGTATAATAAAAACACCCCCACCCTGAAGACAAATGTTAAAGATAAGGCAGAGAGTACTTGTTGTTTTAATACATATCCCCTCACCTACAATCCGCAGACAAATGAAGGAACCCATTATGTGCACAGAAAGGCTTCCTTCGCTAGGGCTGCTAAGCGTGCTGCATATCTGCTGTAGCCTAGTGACTTTATTTATTTATTTATTTATTTTCGCTGAGACTGCAGTGGCATAGTAATACAAGTGTGCACAGTGGCCTCTAGCATTGTTGAGGCTTCCTAACATAAGCAATTGCCTTTTCCTGGGGAGAGGCTGGCTCTGAACAAAATAGGTACTTAGGGAATAGTTAAATGTGCTATTTCCCTCTGGGCAACTTTTTGGTTTACAAATAAAGCCCAGCTCCTGTTCGGCACAAGACAACAGACATGACTTGAACTCTGTCATGTGGCCACACCCTCAGGATTCATGAGAAGGATGTGGAAGCTAAGGAGTCTTCTTGCAGGACAGCTGACACTGGCAAGAAAGATTGGTCACTTTTTACTCAAGAAAGATTGGTCACTTTTTACTCAGAAGTACAACTGAAGGTGGGAGGGAAACGGGTTCTTTTATTACTAACCATAGAGGTTTTAAGCCAGATATGGTGGCACATATGTAGGCTCAGAGTTTGTGAGGTCATGGCAGGAGGGTTGTGAGTTTAGGGATAGTCTAGCAACACAAGACCACTAAATTAAGGAAAGAAAGAAGAAAAGAAAGTAAAGACAATTTAAAGGAGGTAAAGATCTTCTTGCCTCATAAAACTGATAGTGAGTCAGACAAATAAAACATCAATCTGAAAACTAAAATACCTGTTGGAAGACAAGATCTTTAAACCTTACAGCATGGAATGCAGCACTGATTTAAGGATCAATGTTTAGTTTCTCTTACCCATAAACACACACACACACACACACACACACACACACACACACACACACACA